AGAGCCCGTGCGTAAGTTTGTTTAGTGAACCAGCGAAAGCATATGTTTTTGTGTGTTTTGTTGGGAACTGGCATCCTTTCGAGCCCGAAGGTTTCTGAAGGATTTTGGCATGCGCGCGCGACGACGCGCGCGTGCACTTTGTCCCATTTCTTGCAAGGGGTTTTTGAAAATTTATGATTTTTGATAAACGGGTGCACGCGCACAGTAGTTTTTGCAAGGGAGCCGCTGTGGGTCGATACGGGCTTGGCTGGGATAGTACGAGGTCACCGTCAGGATGGACGATGGGGCAGAATCATATGTAAATTATTGTACGCAAAAAAAAGGGCCTTTCAGTCCGGAGGGGGGGGGTCGCCATCTTTTTAGAAAGGTGAATCGACGCTGCGCGATCTATGTGGGGCAAATCACTTTGATTGTCTTGCAGCTGTCCTGTCCACTGCTCGTGCAAACATCCCACCCTCCCACCCGCAACTTGGTCGCAAGACCTCTGAAGAGCGTGAGTGTAGGTACCGAATGGCATTTGGCAACGACACCGACGCCGACGACGACAGCGACGACGACGACGACGTCTCCAACGACTTCGGCGACGAGGACGACGACGACGACGCCGACGCCGACGCTAACGACGACGACGACAATGACAACGCCGACGACGACGACGCGGACGACCACGACGACGACGACGACGCCGATGACGATGACGACGACGAAGACGACGACGACGACGACGACGACGACGGCGACGTCGCCAACGAAGACGACGACGACGAGGGAGGAGGGACGACGACGACGACGACGACGACGACGACGACGACGACGACGGCGACGTCGCCAACGAAGACGACGACGACGAGGGAGGAGGGACGACGACGACGACGGCGACATCCACGACAACGACGAGGGAGGAGGGCTGACGCCGACGACGCGAACGACGAAGGAGGAGGGAGGACGACGACGCCGACGACGACAACGACGAAGGAGGAGGGAAAATGACGACGACGACGGCGACGAAAAAGGAGGGACGATGACGAGACGCCGACGACGGACGACGACGACGAGGGAGGAGGAAGGACGACCACGGCGACAACGTCGACGGAAACGACGACGACGCCAAAGAGGACGACGACGACGAAGACGAGGAAACAGAGGACGACGACGGCGACGACGGCGAGGGAGGAGGGAGGACGGCGACGACGACGACGCAAGAGCGCGCGCGCACGTGTTTGTTGTAAATCCGTGTTGCGAAACCTTGTATTTTGTATGCTTTTGGACAGTCGATTTTGAAATCTTTCCGAAACCGACAGTTTTTGCAGGATTTGGGCATGCGCGCGCGACGACGCGCGCACGCACTTCGTCACAGTTGTTTGCAGAGGATTCTCGCGACGGCACGCGCGCCAGGGTGTTCGAAAGATTTCGACATGCGCGCGCGAAACCCGTTTGGTAGCATTTTTGGGGGGAAATCTTGAAACACATATGGTTTCTTAAGGTTTCGCAAGAGTGCGTGCATAATCTTTGTTAAAAATCAGTGTGTCGAAACCCGGTGTTTTTGTGTATCTATATGTATATTTGGAAACTCGATTTTGAAACCTTTCCGAATCCTCAGATTTTGAAGGATTTCGGCATGCGCGCGCGACGACGCGCGCGTGTGCACTTCGTCCACTCTGTTGCAAGGGATTCTTGAAAACTTTTGATGTTGATAAACGAGTGCGCGTGCATAGTATATCTTGCAGAGGATGGCGGGGGGGGTCGATACTGGCCTGGGTGTGACAGGATTAATTCACAGGTAGGATGGATGTTGGGGCAGAATCCTATGTGTTTTGCATCGGTTCCCGCGGGATCTTTAACCCCGGGAAGGGGGGGTGGTAGAACCTATTCTTACCTAACAGCGAAGACTGATAGGTTTCTAGTGGTCTCAAAAGTGAGCATCATGACTCCCCAGGGGGGTCTGGGCAGATGCCGGACGGGTGCCGCGGGAATCCGGGGACTCCCCATTTTGATTGCCAGGAACCACATTTTGACTGCCCGGAGCCAGCAGAACACCATTCCCAGCCCACATTTTAAATGCCTGGAGCGAACTGTAGGCCACTTCGTGTTCTTCGTGCTCCCAGAACATCATTCCCAGGCCACATTTTGAATGCCCGGAGCCAACTGTAGGACACTTCGTGTTCTTCGCGGTCCCAGAACACCATTCACAGGCCACATTTTGAATGCCCGGAGCCAACTGTAAGCCACTTCGTGTTCTTCGCGTTCCCAGAACACCATTCCCAGGCTACATTTTGAATGCCCGGAGCCAACTGTAGGTCACGTCGTGTTCTTCGTCTTCCCAGAATACCACTATTGTACCATATTTTGACTGCCCGGAGCCAACTGTGGGCCACTTTGTGATCTTCGTGTTCCCAGAACTCCAGTCCTGTGCCATATTTTCAATGCCCGAGCTGAGGCAGGCTGAGGCCGAGGCAGGCTGAGGCCGAGGCAGGCTGAGGCCGAGGCAGGCTGAGGCTGAGGCTGAGGCACGCCGAGGCAGGCTGAAGCTGAGGCTGAGGCAGCCTGAGGCTGAGGCAGGCTGAGGCTGAGGCTGACGCAGGCTGAGGCCGAGGGCAGGCTGAGGAGGCTGAGGCTGAGGCAGGCTGAGCTGAGGCTGAGGCAGGCTGAGGCTGAGGCTGAGGCTGATGCAGGCTGAGGCTGAGAGCCTGACGCTGAGGCTGAGGCACGCTGAGGCTGAGGCTGAGGCCGGGGCAGGCTGAGGCTGAGGCCGAGGCAAGCGAGGCAGGCTGAGGCTGAGGCTGAAGCTGAGGCAGGCTGAGGCTGAGGCTGTGGCTGTGGCTGAGGCAGGCTGAGGCTGAGGCTGATGCAGGCTCAGGCTGAGGCAGGCTGGCTGAGGCTGGCTGAGCTGAGGCTGAGGCCGAGGCAGGCTGAGGCTGAGGCTGAGGCTGCAGGCTGAGGCTGAGGCTGAGACAGGCTGAGGCTGAGGCTGAGGCAGGCTGAGGTGATCGTTCTTTTATTATTATTTTTTGCTTTCGGCGGACCCCCCCGCCCCCCCCCCCCGTAGAGAAGTTATGGGCTGATTTTGGCACCTGCTTCAGTCGACCGGACGAACTACGGGGGGGCCGGCGCCCCCCCCCCCCCGTAGAAACTCGAATCGTTGATGTGTGCAATTGTGCGAACTTTTTCCTGCTATTCTTCTGGAACCATAACGAAAGGGCTCAGGGTCGCCGGACCCGATCGCCAAAAAGCATGCCTCCGGTTGGGCCCTCCCCTGTTATGCCACCGACGGCCTTGTGGAATCATGAATATGTGATCCATAGTGGGAACTGCATTTTTAGACGTGGGAACTACATTGTTTGCATAAAAGATTTTTTTTTAAACAAATACGTGATAAATATATTAAGTGATGCTACGTCAGAAATGTGTTGATTCTACACGTCAGAAATATATTGACTAAGACATTTTACAATATATCATAATACATTTTAAATTATCGATAAGTTTCATAAACATTTGCGTTGTATTGTAATTGTTAGAATGAGTTTGGTTACCAGTTTCACGCCTCATGAGGGGCTCAAATGTTGAATTTTAAGCTATGTTGAAAATTTCAAGATGATTCAATCGGAGGTATTGACTACGGGACGAGAGCCGGACCCCCCCCCCTCCCCCCCTTGCGCCCAATGACGAAACCCAAAACGCTCACGAGGCTGAGGCAGGCTGAGGCTGAGGCAGGCTGAGGCTGAGGCCGAGGCAGGCTCAGGCCGAGACAGGCCGAGGCTGAGACTGAGGCTGAGGCTGAGGATGAGGCCGAGGCAGGCCGAAGCTGAGAAAAGGTGAGGCTGAATGGGGGGGGGGGAATGGGGGGGGGAGTAGGGGAGGCTGAGGCAGCCTGAGGCCGAGGCAGGCTGAGGCCGAGGCAGGCTGAGGCTGAGGCTGAGGCAAGCCGAGGCAGGCTGAGGCTGAGGCTGAGGCTGAGGCTGAGGCAGGCTGAGGCTGAGGCAGGCTGAGGCTGAGGCTGACGCAGGCTGAGGCTGAGGCAGGCTGAGGCTGAGGCACGCTGAGGCTGAGGCTGAGGCCGATGCAGGCTGAGGCTGAGGCTGAGGCAAGCCGAGGCAGGCTGAGGCTGAGGCTGAAACTGAAGCAGGCTGAGGCATCCTTAGGAATCCATAGGAATCCTTAGGAATCCTTAGGAATCCATAGGAATCCTTAGGAATCCGTAGGCATCCTTAGGAATCCGTAGGCATAGTTAAGCATCCTCAGGAATCCTTAGGATACCTTAGGATTCCTTAGGAATCCCTAGGAATCAGGATGCCTAAGGATTCCTAAGGTTTCCTAAGGATTCCGATGGATTCCTAAGGATGCCTAAGGATGCCTAAGGATGCCTTAGGAATCCCTATGAATCCTTAGGAATCCATTGGATCCTAAGGCCGTTGCCACTGCGACTGTTATTGCGAATGCGACTGCGACTGCGAGAACATCAGAATTCTACAACTGGATTCTCACCTGAATCTTAAGGGGAATGCTTCCAACTATGATTATACACATCGCTGTTAGGTCGCCTTGCCTGGATAATTATTTCAGAAAGGGGAGTCGATGTGTGATGCGATCTGTGTTGTGCAGTCCTTGTCGCGGCGACGGGGCGGCGACTGCGAGCACATTGCCGCCAGACCGCCGCCCAGTCCCAGGCGACGGGCGGCGACGAAGCGGCGGCGGTGCGGCGACGGCAGGCACGCAGCCGCCAGACCACCAGCCAGGCTCAGACGACGGGCGGCGACGAGGCGGCGACGGGGCGGCGGCGGCGGGGCCGGCGCGTGCGAGCATGGAACCGCCAGACCGCCAGCCAGGCCAGCTTGCTTCAACGAGAGGCAAGAGCCCCTAAGTGCCAGCACTGCTTGTGGAATCTACGCGCGTGCATCTCATTCTCGCTGCTCTCCTCCTTCCTCTCCCCTGCCCCTCGAGGCCATTTTGGTGTAGGCCTTGAGTTGTCACGGCCCTCGCGCGGCGCGGTGCCGGCGCAGGGGATGGGCTGCCGCGCCATCCTGCGATTTCTGCCCCTGCTGCTCGGAGCGGCCACCGTCGCCGCGGACGAGAACCGCCAGGTCCTGGTGAAGGAGGTGGTCCTGGACAGCGCCGTCGTGGACATCGTGTACCTGGGCAAGGCCCACGAGTGCGTGCTGGTGACGACGAAGAGCAAGAAGCTCTACTTCAGCGCGGACCAGGGCCAGAGCTGGAACGAGATCACAGACAAGGTGGACCCCTCGCCGTCGTGGTCCGTGGAGGCGGAGCGCATCATCGTGAACCCCGCAGACAAGTCGGTCGCGGTGCTGCAGACGAAGATCCGGGAGACTGGCTTCCCCTACATCTACATCCGGGGAGCAGAGAGCGGCCGCGCCCGCTCCCCTCCCCCCCCCCGTTCGGGCAACGGCGGGGGCAGGGGGAGTCACAGGGGGGGGGGGGCGTCCCCGAGAGGCGGGCGTCGCATCGTTTCCCCGCCGGGTTTCGGGTACCTCGTTCTCTTCGGATCGGGGCCTGCTGGCCCCCACCTTAGCCGCCGCGTGTTCGTCCTCGGACGCGCGCGCCTCGCCTCGTTCCCTCGTTCCCTGGACCATCACAGACCGATCTGGTTCGAACAGGTGCAGCAGACAGATTGGGTTTAGGGCTCCGGTCGCGACTTTGTCCGCGATGCTGCATTTGGTTTCGCAACGTCGGATCTCAGGGTGGGGCCTCCCAGGACGGCCATGGGCGCCTCCTTGGGGCGGCACCAGGGGCTTACTCCCAAGAGGGCCTCTCTTGGAGGGCGGGAGGAGGAGGAGGAGGAGGAGGAGGAGGAGGAGGAGGAGGAGGAGGAGGAGGAACAAGAAGAGGAGCAGGAGGAGGAGGAGGACGAGGAGGCGGAGGAGGAGGAGGAGGAGGAGGAGGAGGCGGAGGAGGAGGCGGAGGAGGAGGAGGAGGAGGAGGAGGGGGGTCGGGCCGTCCAGGAGGGCCAGGGTGGCCTCATTCAGGGTCTCCCCCTGCGTTTTCTCGGGAGGCCACAGCCCCACCCCCGCCATGGCGCCACACCCATCGCGCGTGCACGCCAGGGAGGGGAGCCAGGGGGACGGAGCAGGCCTCAGCCACGCGTAGATGGGGGCCGGGGGAGGGGGGAGGGCTTCTTAGAAGCACCCCTGCTTCTTAGAAGGCGCGGGCCTTATCTATAGATGTAGGGCCGGCGCCTTCTAAGAAGCAGCCTCCTTCTAAGAAGCCCTCCCCCCTCCCTCCACCCCCTTCTGCGCGCCGCCAAAGGCCATGCACAACTGTGGGAGCTGTGGTCCTTACCCCCTGGGGGACCCATTGATTTCGACACCCCTCTCGAGAGATCGTCGATGCGATGGGTTCCCCCAGGGGGGTAAGAACCACAGCTCCCCCAGTTATGGCTGGTCGGCGGAGGGCCAGAGGGAGGGGGAGGAGATCGGGTCGGGGCTCAAGGGGACGTGGGTCAATGCAAACGGGGGTCTCCCAGAGCGCCAGATCTTGCAGGATCCTGCAGAGCCAGGGCTGCACTGACCCGGGCCAGCGTGCAGGATCCTGCAGGACCTTGCAGGCTCCTGCGTGATCCTGAAAGGCCTGGCTGGCCCAGGTTTGCTTTGCCCTGGGCCAGTGCGCCCCCGAACGGGAGCGGGTGCACGGCCTCTTCTGCTCTCCAGCGTCACCGAGGACTCGGGGCGGACGTGGAGGAGCCGGGGATGGAAAAACGGCACAGGGTCTGTCTGGTGGACTTATTTTCCACCACCACCATAAGCAGGAGGCGGAGGGGCTCCTCCTCCTCCTCCTTCTCTTCCTCCTCTTTCCCCCCTCCGACTTTTGGTGGTGGTGGTGGTGGTGGTGGTGGTGGAAAACAGGTTTGCGCAGGTTTCTCGCATCGACGCTGGGCACGCCTTGCGGCGTCTCCGGCGCCACAGAGGGTGGGGCCCGCGCCGATCCAAGAATTTGCGCAGACTTCTGAAAGTTTCTGCTTACGTCTAGCTGTAAGTCGGGCGTGTCTCTCTACATGAGGACAATTCCACAGCATAGTCTGGGGGACGATTTTGGAGTAGTCATGAGCATCCTTGAAACATGTTGGGCCATTGATTTTTTTTTTAAGCTTTGGTCCAGACTCCGTCTGTAGGAGGACACGCCTGGCCTCAGTCTAGCTGTGCGTCTGCTGAGGAGGGCCTGGGGGAAGCACCACGGGCTCCACAGCTGGATCTCCCACCCGACCGAGCGGTCGTGGGCGCTCGTCTCCTGGTGGAACGGCAACTGCGGCTCGGCGCCGAGGCTGAAGGGCCAGAAGGACGCCGGGGGCCCCCAAATGGAGTGGTGACCACACTCGGAAACTGGCGCATATACATTACCAGAGGCGGGCTGTTTTTCAATCCCAGGACTCTTTGAGGGTCGGAGACGACGTCGGGGCGGTGTGGTGTCTCCTTGGTTCCCCGTTTTCCCGGGAAACATCGGGAAACGTATGCGCCAAGATCCCGTATACACCAGGATCCGCTTCCTTGTGCAAATTCCAGTGCAGTGCCGCAAAAAATATCGGTGTATTGAGTTCGGTTCCCTACACACCGCGTGGTGAGTCGGTGGGGATTCGGGGTCACCGCACGGTTTTGGGACTGAGGTCATTCTTCGAGGATGTCTCGGGCGCCTGGGGCCTCCGAGATCTCAAAGCCGTGTGGTCACGGGCCCTGCGGTGAGATCTCTGTGGTTTTCAAGGTCCTCGCTGGGTCTGTCTCCACAGTGTTTGGGACCCCCAAGGATGACGAAGACGACGACTCCAGCAAGCCCTGTGTGCATAGGCTCATGTTCACCAAGGATCTGGGCAAGAACTTTTTGCAGCTGGCCGAGTACGTGGTTCAGTTCAGCTGGGGCAGCAAGTCACATGATCAGAGTAATCGAGTGTATTTCACGTCTTACAGAGAGAAGTCAGGAGACCAGGGGCGTCTGTCGCTCTGGACGACAGAGGTGGATTTCAACTTCGTCGATATTAGCACAAAGGGCAAGCCGAAAGGAGGGCCGCAAGAGAGTCTGAGACACGGGAACAAGTTCCTTGTCTCAAACGAGTACATCCTCGTGGCCAAGGTCAGCAACGAACAGGCTCAGACCGTGCACCTCCTGGTCTCCAAGGACGGCGGGAAGTCGTTCGATGCCGCCCTGCTCCCTTCTGGAATGGGTGAGCTGGAGGAAAAGTGGTACACTGTTCTGGACACTTCGGAAGGCGAGGTGATTCTGCACCTCAACTCCGACAGCGAGGGCGAGAAGGATACCGGCCGGATCTTCATCTCGGACAGTGGCGGGTACAAGTTCTCCCAGTCTCTCGTGAACAACGTTCGCTCGTCGAAGGGCGACTGCGAGTTTGACAAGGTGGTCAGCCTCCAGGGCGTGTACATGGCCAACATTGTGGTGCCCGATTCCAAGTCGGACCAGCAGACGTTCGCGGCGGGCAAGGCGAAGATGGCGGACCAGTTGGAGGACGAGGCCGCAGACGGCTCTGCAGTAGATCAGAAGCATGGCCGTGGTTTCAACAAGGGCGTATCGGGCAAGTCGGCGAAGGAAGAGCGCACTATCCGGACGGTGATATCCTTCGACAAGGGCGGCGCCTGGAAGTACCTGAAGGCGCCCAAGGTAGACAGCCTCGGCAAGCCCTACGACTGCGCGGGCAAGCCGGCGGAGGAGTGCGCCCTGCACCTGCACGGGTCCACCTCGTGGGACTTCTACGCGCCCTTTTACTCCATGGAGTCCTCCGTGGGCATCATCATGGGGACCGGAAACGTGGGCAGCTCGCTGCGCTTCGAGCCAGAGGTCACCAACACGTACGTCTCCCGGGACGGCGGCCTCACATGGTTCGAGGCGCACAAGGGGGCGTTCATCTACGAGTTCGGCGACCACGGCGGTTTGATTGTGATGGCGGACGACCTCCACAAGACAAGCGAGGTCGTCTTCACGTGGAACGAGGGCCAGTCTTGGTTCGATCTGGGCGCCTTCTGGCACGGCCCGCCGTTTCTCAGCCTACCCCCCTCCACGGAAGCCCTGAGAGGAGGGGCGGGGGTGGACCAGGAAAGGAAAATCATTCAAGCACAAAGAAACGTCGATCTCCTGGGAAATGCAGAAAGTATAGGAAGTGGAGAGCAGGACGAAAATCCAGAAAGCGTATAACACATGGAGAATCCTGGGATTTGTTTCTATTTGTTTGTGTGTCCTGGGGCCCATGCAGTGGAGGAGAGGGCGGGGGGGAGATCATGAAGGGAGGGTGGGAGTGAGAGGGGGAGAGGAGGAGGATGCCTAAGGAAGTCGGGGAGAGGGAGGGATGGGGGGCGACGAGAGAGAGGGGAGGGGGAGAGGAGGAGGGAGGGGGAGAGAGGGGAAGGAGAGAAGGTCGGAGGAGGAAATGGTACGCACACCGCTACCCTCACCCGGCTCCCACAGGGCTCCCGGGAGGCCCTCGTCGCCACCGCTCGATTCGCCTCGATATGATGGAGGGGTACGGGGAGCAGCGGTATCGGCACCTTGCGGCTTCTCCAGAGGAGGGAGGGGGAGAGAATGCCAAGGAGAGAAGGGGGCCGGGGAGGGAGCAACCGCTGCAGAGTGGTGCCTCCATATGCTCTTCCCCGAGCTTTCTGCCACGCCCGGCGGCGAGCCATCTGAGTTCGAGACGCACGGTGCCTGAGAGAGCACGGGAGGGGTGGGGAGGGAGCAGAGAGAGGGCTGAGAGGGCGGGAGGGAGGACTGGGAGGGAGGAGAGCGAGGGTGGAGGGATGAGGGGGAGGGCATGGGGGGAGAGCGGAGAGGGAGGGAGCGGGGGAGGGACGATGGGGACGGGAAATGGGCAGCGAGGGAGAGAGGCGTAGGGATGGCATCGATGTCGCTGCTGCCGCCCGGCCGGCTTCACGGCCCCGCGCCCCGCGGGAGGGCCGGCGGGCTTCAAGGTCGGCTCCGGCGCGACCTCCACGCCGTTCGACGTCGACAACATCATCACCGAGCCCAACCTGACCGCGACCACGTTCATCATGTTCGGCACCGGAGGGCCCAGACCTCCAGCGTATTGATTGGAGGTGGACAGAGAACCCCCAACAGTGACACGTCGATCAGTGAATCGTCCGTTCTCGGTTCTCGAGAGGGAGCCGTGGCCGTTGTTTTCCAGGCTTGCGCCCGCCAGGTTTGGGCTTCAGGTCGTTTTCACTGAAGCACGTTTTACTAAAGTCAGGAGGGAAAGAAACACAGACACAATGAATCGTCGGTTCCCCAGATAGGAAAATATGGGAAGTGGGGGGGAAGACGGAAACGTAGAACATATTGGAACATCTGGGGAATCCTTTTATTTGTGTGTGTTTATTTTTTGTGTCCCAGGGCCTCTTCATAAAGGGGGGTATGTCCATCCCCGAAGCTCGTCGCGGAGGGCTTCCGTTGTTCCAGGCCTTCCCTGGGGTCGGGGAGCAGACGGGGTCGGAGGGCCGCCCCACGTCGCAGAGGCGCCGCCGCTGCGGCTCGGTGTGGAGCCCGACTCGCTTCGCGTCGGCGTCGCCGACGCATCGCCCGCGCCGACGAGGCATCGCCGGCGCATCGCCGACGCTGCTTCGCGTCGACGAGGCATCGCGGATGCCTCGTCGATGCATCGGCGACGCGACGCGATCCTCCGGCCCCACCTGCTCTCCAGCCCCATCTCTGGGAGGCCTCTGTGCAGAAGGGCCCTCGCCGGGCTCCAGGACCGTCGAAAGGCGACTCGTGGGACGCAGGCGCCGGCCCCGGGCTGGGCTGAAGAGGCCGGTGCACGTCGGATCCAGGGGCCAGACAGCGGCGGCGAGCCCGGGGGGGGTAGCGAGGGGGGAAGCCAGGCCTCCCCAGCAGGCCCGCAGGGCTTCCAGAAGCCCTCGCGCCCTCCGAGAGGCCCTCGGCCGTCCTCTCCAGAGGCCCCCCCCCACCCCGCGCACTGGGCACCTCCGCGCGCCGCCGGCCTGCTCACCGAGGCTCCCAGAGATCCGAGGACCTGATTTTTTCGATGCTCACCAAGTGCGTTCCATTATGTCGGGCCTGTCCCTCTACAGGGGGAATATTCAAAAATGGCTTTAAAACATATTATGGGGATTATTTTTAAAAGTATTTTTGGGCATGTTCTGAGTATTCTTTTCATATTTCTTATTTTTCGTCCGAAATCCCCCTGTCGGGGGACAGGCCCGACCTATTGCGTTCCACTGCTCGCAAAAAGTGCCTGCGCGCCCACGCCTGGCAACAGGAAAGCAGGTCACATCCGCGATGCAAAGGGCGTGTCGCAGATCCCCCGCGGCGGGTGCAGGCCACTGGCGGGCAGCTGCTTTTCTGCGGGCCGTGGAGCGCGCTCGCCCGGCCCCGGCGGCCTTGCCTCCGTATATGTCGGCCTCCGCATGGGCCCCTGGTCGGGCCCGGGGGACCAGCAAGCGCGGATCCGGCACGAGAATCAGGAGGGGAAAAACACACAGACACAATTAATCGTCGATTCCCAGGAAATATGGGAGAATACGGGAAGTGGGGGGAAGACAAAAACCCAGAAAATATGGGAAAACATGGGGAATCCTTTTGTTTGTGTAAATTTAGTTGTGTGTCCCAGGGCCCCTTCAGAGAAGCCACCCCTGGGGTTACGATGCTCCAACCTGCTTTAGCCTTGGCTCCCAGGAGGAAGTTCGAGCACAATCTAACAGCACCGAAACGCGAGGGTTTTCACGTGTCGGGCCCTGGGGACACTCGTCCGGCACTGCTTCGACACTCTGTCGACACTCTTTCGACACTTTTCCGGGTGCTCGCAATTATTTCTGGGATGTGGTCCTAAGTATCGGGGGTGGACAGACCTCCTACCTTGACACGTCGATTAGCGAATTGGCAGTTTTCGGTTCGCGAGAGGGCGTCGCGGCCGTCATTTTTGCGGGTCCAGGTCCGTCGGTTTCGGTCCCAGGCCGTTTTCACTACAGGGAGGTTTACTATTGGGATGTTTCTCCACAGCCGAAAGTAGGATGGGAGCAACATCACCCTGGGGGGGGGGAGGGCGTCGGGACCTCTGGGGCCGCGGATGGAGCCAAGTGCAGAGATCTGAGGAGCTGTTTGTTTCCGAGCGGGCGGCTTTCTCTCCGTCTTTCGGCCCCTGCAGGGCCCGGTCTCCCGCGTTGCGCCGTGGGCTCGCTGCAGGGTCTGGGGACCACAGCTTCTCTCTCTCTCTCTTCCCCTCTCTCTCTATATATATATATACACAGATCTACAAAGAGAGAGAGAGAGAGAGACAGAGAAACAAAAGAGAGAGAGAGAGAGAGAGAGAGAGAGAGATCCGACGTGCTGCCTTTTTCCGCGCGGGGCCCCGGGGAGTGCCGGCTCTTCCCTCATGGGCCGCCTCCGCACCCTGAGCCGTCTCCTGACGGCCATATGGGGGCCCGGCGAGGGCCCCCAGGGGCCGAAGACGACGGAAAACCTCGGCACTTCCGCTCGGGCGGGCGGCAATGGGGGGGCGACCCGAACGGGGGGTGAAGCAAAGGCCCCTCAAGGAGCACTTGAGGGCCCCAAAGGGCTCCTTTGGTAGGGCCTTTCTTAGGGGAACAGAGAGTGACATAAACATGAAAACTCGGAGGTCCGCGCGGATTTCTCGGATCGGCGCTGGGGCCTCCTGGCGGCGCCTCCGGCGCCGCCCCTGGCGCGCTCCGCGCGCCAGGGAGGGGGGTCCAGCGCCGATCCGAGAAATCCGCGCGGACCTCCGAGTTTTTATGCTTATGTCACTTTTTGCTCCCACATTTCTCTTCACCCCCGACTTGGGTCACCCCCCACTGCCGCCCGCCCGGCCCTCTTCTTACAATACGCTGGAGGCCGGGGAAAGCCACGCGAGCACGAGCACTCTCGGACGCCCCCGGGCGCTCTCTCCGCGGGCGCCGGGCGCCGCGCTGTCCCCCTGCAGGGCGCCGCCCCCGCCGGAGCGCGCTCTCTTACGGGGCGCCGCGGGCGGGGGGGTCCGCGGCACCGCGGGAGGTGGGGGCGCCCGGCCTGCGCGGCGGAGAGCTCGCCGGCGGGAGGTCCCGGACTGCACGGCCGCGCGGTGCCGCCCCCGCCCCCCCCCCCGGCCGACTGCACGCATCGAGTTCGGGGTTGCCAGCCAGGGTGCTCCCGGTCCCTGGCTGCCCCCCCACCTTTTCGTCCCGTTCTCCAGAAGCAGAAATTTTCGGCGGTCCGCGCGGGTCTCTTGGATCTGCGCTGGGCCCCCCCCCCCCCCGGCGGCGCTGTCGGCGCTGCCCCTGGCGCGCTTCGCGCGCCAGGGAGGGGGGTCCAGCGCAGATCCAAGAAAGCCGCGCGGAGCGCCAAAAGTTTCTGTTCATGGCGTTGGTTCTTCTTCTACAGCGGAGGCCCATGCCACGAAACCTTGCTTGCCTCCAGGGTGCCTGGGTTTCTTGGGTTTCGATGGTTCTGCGATGGAAGGCGTGTCGTTCCCACACCAAAAATCAATGGACGTCCTGGGGCCTCAGGGGTGGGTCTCTTGTGGAAGGTGTCTTGTGGTCGGGCCCCTGCTGTAAGAGTTCGGGGGTTGCCAACAAAGGCGCCCCTGGCCCAGGGTGAAGTCGGGCCTGTCCCTCTACAGGAGGACTATTCAAAAATTGTAAAATAGTCAGGGGACGACGTTTTGAGTATTTATTGACCATTCTGGTGGCTCCCCCTGTAGGAGGGCACACCCGACCTGAGCCCAGGGCGCCCCCAGCTTCTCGCTCCGTCTTCCGAGGCCTCCTCGACGATGGGGTCCGAGCAGATGGGGTCGGAGGATCGCGCCGCGTGTCGCCGATGCATCGACGATGCGGCTCGACGGTGGAGCGCGATTTGCTTCGCGTCGACGTCGCCGACGCACCGCCGACGTCGACGATGCATCGCGGGTGCATCGCCGAGGCATCGCCGAGGCATCGCCGATGCATCGGCGATCCTCCGATCCCATTTGCTCGGACCCCATCTAGGAGGCCCTGTTGTTTTGGACGGGCCGCCTCAGGGGCCTCAATGGGGGGATTGGCATAATCGGGGGGATGCATCAGCCCCCAATCGTCGATTGATCGCCGATATGGGCCCACCAGCCCCAACCTGCCCAGGAACGTGCGGATCCGCTATCGTGGGCCCATCGCCGATCTATCGGCGATGCATCGCCGATCTCACAGGTCGATGTTCCCCCCCTATGCCAATATCCCCCCCCCTATCGTTGCCCCTCAGCGCCCGGGCCTCACGAGGGAAGCTGATGGGGGTCTGCCTGGGAGTCCTGGGGGCACCTTGGGCAAGGGGGACTCCTGGCAGCACTCGAAGAGTGGCCCCTGGCCGGGGTGACCTTGGGGTGCGGGCCCACTGGCGTCCCCGGGTCGCCGACTGGGATGCGACAGCCGCATGCCTAGAGGTTGGCACCAGGACCAAGATCGGCGGTTTGTCTCCACCGGAGGAAGATTACCTAGATCTCGGAGATGGTGGTAACAGTCGGACTTCCTACGGCAGGTTCGAGTCGTGTCGACCGGCGGCGACCCCAGCGCGTGCATTTAAGGTTGAACGCCGCCCGTGGCCCAGAATCGGCCCGTCGTTGAACGATCTGGCGTTTATGGAACGGCCGATCGTTCAAGTTTGAACGATCCCCGCGGTGTCAGGGACCAACGCCGGGGTCGGCACGACGGGAACCAGAAGATTACCACCAACGCCAACATATAGGAGATTAGACCAGAGAATGACCCCAATCAGTGGATTGTTTGATCGATAAGGAGATCGACCGGTAACCCGGTAATCCAGATCCCACCGAAATCTGCCCGGAACCAATAACCAGGAGCCCGGGAACCCGGAACCGGGAACCCGGGAAGCCAGCCGACCACCGGCATCGGCGGGACATCCTCGCCAAAGCTTGCAGTTTCCGCTAGGACCCCTTCAGTGCAAGCACTGACTGGGGAATAAACATGAGCTTTTGGCGCTCCGCGCGGCTTTCTTGGATCTGCGCTGGAGCCGCCTCCCTGGCACGCGGAGCGCACCGGGGGCGGGGCCGGAGGCGCCGCCGGGGGGCCCAGCGCGGATCCGAGAGACCCGCGCGGAGCGCCAAAAAATTATGTTTATGCCGTTCGTTCTTCTTCGAGTTAGGTTTCGCTTCTGGCAAGCGGAGCGCACCAGGGGCAGCGCCGACAGCGCCGCCGGGGGGGGCCCAGCGCAGATCCAAGAGACCCGCGCGGAGCGCCAAAAATTTATGTTTATGCCGTTCGTTCTTCTTCGAGTTAAGTTTTTTTTTTCAGGAGGATAGAGAAGCAGACGCAATGAATCGTCGATTCCCCAGAAAATGGGGGATCCTATTCTTTGTGTCTATGTGTGCGTATGTCCCAGGGCCCCTTCACTGGTCGGGGAGCATTTCCCCTGGTGGAGGCAGGCCTCCGAGACGGCAGCGGCCCGCCGCTGGGGCCCGGGCTGGCCGCGCCCGCCCCTCTGCAGCCGCGCACCCACAGGGCCACTCCTTGCCCAGGGCCACCCCTGATGTGCCTGTTTTCCGCCACCACCACGAGAAGTTGGAGGGGGGAAGGAGGTGGAGGACGAGGAGGAAAACGAAGAGGAGGAGGAGGAGGAGGAGGAGGAGGAAGACGAGGAGGAGGAGGAGGAGGAGGAGGAGGAGGAGGAGGAGGAGGAGGAGGACCCCCCCTCCAACTCATGGTGGTGGTGGTGGTGGTGGTGGTGGTGGTGGTGGTGGTGGTGGTGGTGGTGGTTGTGGGGCCACCCCACGGATGTGATGGGCTCCAGCTCGGCTCCAGCTTGATTCCAGCTCGACTCAGGTTCGACCCTGATTCGGCCCAGGCCGACGGAAGTTCGCCGCAGCATCGGCGCACAAGTGGAACGAGTGGCTCCAAGAGGGTCCCCAGAGCGACCATCTATAATCTTTGCGTGTGGCCGGCCTGGGGTTCTCCCAGGCACCCGAGGCGAGGGGGCGGGCGTGATGTACTACATGGCGTTCGATGCCCTAGGCAGGACCCATGTCGAAGGGGAGGAGGAGGACGAGGAGGAGGAGGAGGAGGAGGAGGAGGACAAGGAGGAGGAGGAGGAGGAGCTGGAGGAGGAGGAGGAGCTGGAGGAGAAGGAAGAGAAGGAGGAAGAGAAGGGGAGAGGAGGAGGAGGAGGAGGAGGAGGAGAGGAGGAGGAGGAGGGGGACGAGGAGGAGGGGGACGAGGAGGACAGGAGGAGGAGGAGGAGGAGGAGAGGAGGAGGAGGAGGAGGAGGAGCTGGAGCTGGAGGAGGAGGAGGAGGAGGAGGAGGAGGAGGAGGAGGAGGAGGAGGAGGAGGAGGAGGGGGATGAGGAGGACTCAATCCATAGGAAGGGGCCCGCAGGAGGCGGCGGGGAGCGCCCGCTGCGCTTTTTTCCCCCCCGGGCGCCCGGGTATCCGAGGCTTCCCCGCCTGCTCGGGGGCCTGGGCCGCGGACTCGGTGTCCTCGGACTACGAGACGTGGAGCCCGTCCGACGGGTCGTCGGCGTCGGACAGCTGCCTGCTGGGCGCGCAGACCACCTACACGAGGCTCGGAGGAAGAAAAGGCACCCATACTGCTACCCTTCCCTCGTGTTCCTCCTTTTCGGCCTCCTCGGAGGCCCTCGTCGCCACCGCTGGATTCGCCCCGGAATCCCAGTCAGAACGCATCCCGGGAAATGTCTGGGGAGTAGTGGTATGGGTACCTTTTGGTTTCCCCAGAGGCGGAAGCAGACCGCCCAGTGCTTCAACGGCGTCCAGTTCGAGCGGCCGCCCGCTTAGCCAGCCCCCATGGGGTTCGACGACTCCTCTCCAGTCGCCTCGCGAGGGTCCAGGCCTCCTAGATTGGGTCCGATTAGATCGGTTCGGAGGATCGCGCCGCATCGTCGATGCATCGGCGATGCGGCTCGATGTGGAGCCCGATGTTCTCCACGCCGACATCGCCGATGCACCGCCGACGTCGCCGATGCATCGCCGATGAATCGGCGACTCGGCGCAATCCTCCGACCCCATCTGCTTGGACCCCACCTAGGAGGCCTCTAGAGTTGAGTCGGACACGCCCCTCTACAGGAGGAATGTCAAAACATAGTCAAAGCATAGTCTGGGGGCGATTCGTTGATCATGTGTTAGTTTTTTGTGGAAATTCGCCTGTAGGGGACACTCAGGAGGAAAAGAAACACACAGACACAATTAATCCTCGATTCCCCAGAAAATATGGAAAATATGGGAAGTGGGGGGTAAGACAGAAACTCAGAAACTACGGGAAAACATACGGGATATTCTTACTTGTGTGTATTAATTTGTGTGTCCTGGGGCCCCTTCAGACACGCCCGACATAACTCTCGAGGGGCTGCGGCAGGTTCGCGTCGTGCCGACGCGCTGGCCGCGACCCCGGCGTCCGGCGCGCGAGGCGGAGCGTTCCGCCATGGGGCCCAGGCTCGGCCCGAAGGGCGAAGCTGGCGATCGGCCAGCCTCCGCTCGTGCAGTCCTCGAGGGTAACAGGAATTGCACGGTCTCCCCCCGGGTCCGCAGGATACTCGAGGAGGAGGAGGGAGGAGGGAGGAGGAGGAGGAGGCGATCGGCCAGCCTCCGCTCGTGCAGTCCTCGAGGGTAACAGGAATTGCACGGTCTCCCCCCGGGTCCGCAGGATACTCGAGGAGGAGGAGGGAGGAGGGAGGAGGAGGAGGAGGCGGAGGAGGTGGAGGAGGAGGAGAGGAGGAGGAGGTGGAGAGAGGAGGAGGGAGGGAGGGAGGGAGGGAGGAGGGGAGGGAGGGGAGGGGAGGGGAGGGGGGGAGGGGAGGGGAGGGGAGGGGAGGGGAGGGGAGGGGAGGGGAGGGGAGGGAGGGGAGGGGAGGGGAGGGGAGGGGAGGGAGGGGAGGGGGAGGGAGGAGGAGGAGGAGGAGGAGGAGGAGGAGGAGGAGGAGGAGGAGGAGGAGGAGGAGGAGGAGGAGGAGGAGGAGGCGGATGAGGCGGATGAGGCGGAGGAGGAGGAGGAGGAGGAGGAGGAGGAGGAGGAGGAGGAGGAGGAGGAGGAGGAGGAGGAGGAGGAGGAGGGAGGAGGAGGAGGGAGGAGGGAGGAGGGAGGAGGAGGAGGAGGAGGAGGAGGAGGAGGAGGAGGAGGAGGAGGAGGAGGAGGAGGAGGAGGAGGAGGAGGAGGAGGAGGAGGAGGAGGATGAGAAACCCTCCCAAAGGAACCCCTAACCCTCATAACAGAGTGAAGACTTGGCCTCACTGCTGGGCCCATCCTTGCATGAGGCGTGATAACTCTGGGCGGTTCGGTCTGGCACATCTGCAGACAAGACCCCCTGTCCCTAATGTTTCAGCCCCTCATAACGTAATGTAGGTCCCCTCCAAAAGGGTAAGGGGTCCTTTTCTGATTAATCATTTAAGGATGAACGTTCCACGCGGTGCCAGAAACCAACGCCGTTGTCGTCACGTCACGAACTTGCTGTAGTTATAGATCCAGTTGAGTCGAGGCATCGTCGCCGGACAAGTCGAGGCAGAGCAACACCACGAGCAGGGTAGCTCCAGAGTCGGCGGCGAGCGAGGGGGGGAAGGGAGAAGGAGACGGCCTTCTCAGCAGGTTCGGGAGGAGGATCAGGAGGAGGCTGGATGGATGGATAGATGAGGGAGTGGGGAGAAGGAGGATTAGGAGGAGGAGGAGGAGGAGGAGGAGGAGGAGGAAGATAATGAGTAGGAGAAGGAAAGAGGAACAAGAGGAGGAGGGCAAGCAAAAGGGCCAGAGGTCTCTTGGATGCCTCTCGGAGCCTCTTGGGGTATCTCTTGGGCGCTTCTTGGTGGTCCATTGGTACGTCTTGGGGGTCTATTGGCGGTCCTGGGGGGGCACTTGGGCGTCTTGGGTGCCTCGGGGGGGGCCTCTTGGGGCTGCTTGGGGTCCTCTCGGGGGCCTTCTGGGTCCCTCTGGGGAGCCTCTTGGGGCCATCTTGGGGCCATCTCGGAGCCTCTTGGGGCCTCCTGGGCGCTTCTTGGGGTCATCTTGGAGGACGTCGATCAAAGAAGAGGGGAGCTCCTTTTGGCCCTGCCCCACCAAGAGGCCAAAATGGAGCCAACACCTTTTGGTAAAACCAATGATTTGGGCTTCCTCGCCGAGGCCGTTTTGGGCGCTCTACCACGCTGCGACCAGCCCCGTCCAGGTCCAAGGGGCGGGGGTAGGGAGAGGTGTAAATCCCTCCCCGAAGGGGAAGCGGGAGGGGTGGAAGAGGAAACTCCCTAAACCACCTACTCCCAGAGGGCTGGTGGGACTAAAAAACACAAAACTGGCCACTTCCAACTCTCTGCCCTTTGACAGACCGCCCAACTTGTGCCACCCCCCTGTGCGCGCTCCGCCAAGACCCCCCCTGCGGACGACCCACGACAGGTTCGCGACGAGGTGCCGCGGCGGTGACCCCAGAGCGGACGTTCGGGGTCGAACGCCGCTGGTGGCCCCGAGGTGGCCGATGCATCCAGGGATCTGGATACCTCCTGCCCCCGCCGTGGGCCCAGAGGTCCGTTGTATTCAATACGAGCCCAGACCCCCACGTCGTGATTTCTTCACGGCGTCGGCCCCCAGAGGTCTGCACCCCTCTCCTTGGGACTGGTTTGGCGTCCTGAGCTATTGTTTGACGGCTCGGAGGCCGAAAATAGCGAACAACAATCCCGTCGTGTCTTTTCACAGCGCGAGGAGGTCTGGGGGGTCCTTGGAAGTCCCGACCACTTCCCCAGGGCCGGATTTGCATCTCGAGAGGTTTTCTTCGCGGTCCTTCGGCCCGGCGAGGGCCCCCAGCGGCCGAACTTGTGCTCTTGGAGCCTCTCAGTGTGTTGGATGTTTTGGGGCGGGACGAGCAGAGGCCGCGGCGGCGCGGGCGTGCCCGCCCCCCCCCTGCGCGCGCGGCGCAGGCCGGTGGAGCAGAAGAAGTGCGCGTGCACGGAGCAGGACCGCGCGGGCGCGCGCTGTGAAGGGGCTCTCTCCCTCCTTCCCAGACATCGGGCGTCTCGACAAAGAATTGGGGCGGAGGTTTTTTCATCGTTTTCGGCCTCCCGGGGCCCTGGCCGGGCCTCGGGACCGTCAAATGACGACTCGGGATGAAAAACGGGTCCTGGGGAAGTGGTCGGGAGGTCTGGGACCCGTGTATCGAAAAAATCGAGACGTCGGATGTTGGGGTCCCATCCCCCCAGACGTTTGGGTAGGGCGGGGGGCGGGCGGGCCGGGCGTTTCGCCCGAGACCACCTCGCGTCATCGTTTCCTTATGCGTTGTTTTGCCGATCGGCGCGGGCTCTCGCCCCCCGCCTCCTCCCCATCCCCTCCATGGAGTAGATCTTGGCTGTTTTTTGCCCCTGTTTCCAGCAGGTGGAGTCTCACCCAGAGGACGCACGGTTCCAGACAGTCGCATGAGCAGAGGTCCGGAGCCAGACCCCCCCTTCTCCTCCTCCCTTCCGCTCAATGTCGAAACGCCGTGTAAGAAATCACTCACCACCACCTGGGATCCTGAAGCTTGAAAGTTGCATTGAGTCGAGCGTGTCCTTCTTCAGAAGGAATATTCAAAAATAGTCGAAAAATAGTCTGGGGACGATTTTGATTATTCATTTGCTTAGGTCACACCGCCGACCCCTTTGGGGCGGCAGCAATCGTCCCCCGCGTGGCCTGTCGGGACAGCCTGTGAGGCCCCCCTAGACACGTTTTGGAACCTTCTTAGGACCGTCCTGCCGTTCCCCTGGGCCGTTGCCATGGTTTCTGAGGCCTTCGTGGGGCGCCTGGAGGCCTTCGTGGAGCCTTTTGGAAAGTCTCTTGGGGTGCCAAAGATCGATCTTGGAGGTTTACTGGGCCGTTGTGGGCCTCCTGGAAGCTCAAGAAGCGAATATGCTGAAAGTGTACGTTTTCTCTAGGAAATGGGACGGTTTTTGCTTCCGGAGGCCTGCTTGGAGCGCCTCCTGGTCGCGTATGCAAGCGTCTTGGGCGCCCATGGGGCTGTCTGGAGGCAATCGTGGGCGGTTTGGACCGAATCGTCCCCCGCGTGGGCCGTCCAGACAGCCTTTGGGAGCCCTCTTGGCCCGTTTTGGAGCCCTCTTGGGCCCGTCCTGCGGCTTTCCTGAGCCGTTGCTATGGTTCTTGGAGCCTTCGTGGATCGCCCAGAAGCCGTCTTGGAGCCTTTTTGGGAGCCTTTTCGGGTGACAGGTGTCGATCTTGGATGTTTACTGGGCCGTTGTGGGCCTCGTGAAAGCCCAGGAAGCGAATGTGCTGAAAATGTACGTTTTACCCTGGGATTGGGACGGTTTTTGCTTGTGGAGGCCTTTTTGGAGCGCCTCGTGGTCGCGTTTTCAAACGTCTTGGACACCCATGAGGCCGTCTGGCGGCTATCTTGGGCGGTTTGGACCGAATCGTCCCCCGCGCGGGCCGTCCGGACAGCCTTTGGGGGCCTTCTTGATTCGTTTTGGAGCACTCTTGGGACCGTCCTGCGGCTTTCCTAAGCCGTTGCTACGGTTTCTGTGGCCTTCGTGGATCGCCCGGAAGCCGTTTTGGAGCTTTCTTGGGAGCCTCTTCGGGTGACAGGTGTCGATCTTGGATGTTTACTGGGCCGTTGTGGGCCTCGTGAAAGCCCAAGAAGCGAATGTGCTGAAAATATATGTTTTACCTAGGGATTGGGACGGTTTTTGCTCATGGAGGCCTTTTTGGAGCGCCTCGTGGTCGCGTTTTCAAGCCTCTTGGGCTGGCGAGGGTCGATCTTGGAGGCTTCTTGGTCCGTTTTGCGCCGCGTGGAAGCCGAATGGGCGAATGTGGTGAAAATGTATGTTTTCCTCGGGGAATGGGACGATTTTTGCTTGTGGAGGGCCTCTTTGAGGCGCCTCGTAATATTGTTTCAAGCGTCTTGGGGACTTATGGAGCCGTGTGGAGACAGTCTTCGGCGTTTTGGGGCGATCTCTCGTCGATTCGTAGCTCTCTTGGACGTTCCGGGAGCCTTTGGAACCTTTTTGGCCCGTGTTGGGGCCTCCTGAGGCTCCAAATGTGCGGATGATGGATTCCCCCCCCCCCCCCCCCTCCAAACCGGCCGGACCAGGCACCCGGGGGAGGGGTTTGGGGAGGGGGAAGCATCTCACACGCCGTGACCCCAAGGAGTCGGCGTATTTAGACTATTTTGGGGTATTGGTTTGACTATTTTTGATTTTTCCTCCAAAATCCGCCTGTAGGGGGACATGCCCGACTTACAAGTTGCAGCCGTTTCACGGATGGAAGGCGGGCCTTCTGCAAAATCTGGTTCTCGCCTCAGCGTTCCTCTTGCATTCATCGTGACAAACTTGCAGCAGGTTCGCGGATGGAGGGCGAGCCGTTTTCAACATGTGGCTCTGGAGGGCAGGTCGTTTTCAACATGAGGTTCTTGCCTTAGCGCCGCGTTCATTCGCTTTGACAGTTGGCAACAGTTTCAAGGATTCGCACAGTCGAAGTCGCATGAATAGCGTTCCGGCAAGATTTAGGATCGTCAGAAAGCAACGGTCCTGTTGACTCGCGGTGTTGAAATCCCAGGAACGGTGTCCTGGCATGGTTTACTTGGTATCGCTCGGACGTGTGCACTTTTTCTCGGCGGGGGTTATTAAGCAGCATCCTGTATCATCCTGCGAAAAAAAACACGCACGAAACCGAACCAAAACACATGGAATTGACGTCCGAGCGACGGGGAGTTTAGGATTGTCAGGACGCGACAGTCACGTTGACTCGCGACGCTGGAGTCCCATGAATAGTGTTCTGGCACGAGTGGGGATTATCAGACGTTTGTTTTCCGTTGGGGCATCTTCCCGTAGTGTGATCTATCTTTGTCGGGCCTATGAAGAGTAAGTGTGGAGGGAGGGTTTCAGGCGACATCGCAGACGTGTCTTAGGTTTATCTTTGGTCCCTACTCCTCTTTCTCCTCCAGTCTTCTCTCCTCCTCCCGAGTATCCAGGAGGAGCAAGGAGCGCGGAGCAGGTGCGCGGAGCAGGAGGAGGAGGAGGAGGAGGAGCGAGGATCGAGGATCGAGGAGCGCTGAGGAGGATGAGGAGGATGATGATGATGATGATGATGATGATGATGATGATGATGATGATGATGATGATGATGATGATGATGATGATGATGATGATGATGATGATGATGATGATGATGATGATGATGATGGTGATGATGATGATGATGATGATGATGATGCTGATGCTGATGCTGATGATGATGATGATGATGATGATGATGTGGATGTGGATGTGGATGTGGATGTGGATGTGGATGTGGATGATGATGATGATGATGATGATGATGAGGATGAGGATGAGGATGAGGATGAGGATGAGGATGAGGATGATGCTGATGATGATGATGATGATGATGATGATGATGATGATGATGATGATGGTGGTGGTGGTGGTGATGATGATGATGATGGTGATGATGATGGTGATGATGATGATGATGATGATGATGATGATGATGCTGATGCTGATGCTGATGCTGATGCTGATGCTGATGCTGATGCTGATGCTGATGATGATGAGGAGGAGGAGAAGGAGAAGGAGGAGGAGGAGGAGGAGGATATGGAACAAGCAAGAGCAGCAGGAGGAGGAGGAGGACGAGCAGGAGCAGGGGGAGGAGGAGGAGGAGGATTGTCACGGCGGTCGTTTAAGGCACGGGTAATGTTTTACCGTTTCGTGCCCTAACAATGGTGGCATGATATGCTCAATTCCAGTTCAAACTCAAACATCGGAAAGCATTGAAGTATCTACAACCTAAATCATGCTACCCTGCGTGGTGCAAACTGTTTGACATGCAATGCTAATTCAAGTGGGATGTAACCTGGAATGCATGACTGAGGCCCCCCCACGGCTGTGAAGCAGGATGGTTTACAATTGTCTGGCCTCTTCCCGGAGGAGGGCCGCCCCACGACTGTGAAGCACAATTGGCTGTCCCGTGCCAATCCCCGTATTCCCATGGATGCAACACTTTTCAAGATGCGCCTACTACCACGCCTATGCTTTGCAACACTCGCGCCAATGCCCTCCACTGCACGGCCTATGGCCACCCATGGCCTACACGCGGGCCCTTTGTACTGTGGCTGGTAAGCCCCCCACCCCAATGCCTGATACGGCCACCTATGGCCCGCGTGCTACTGCACAGACCCCAGGCCTGTCACGGCCGACTATGGTCTGCGAACTATCAACATGTCAAAGCATGAACTTACCTGGCTACTCCTCCACGACGTGGCTGGGGACGGGGTCAGAAGCAGGAGGAGCAGGAATAGGAGGAGCAAGAGGAGCAGTAGGAGGAGGAGACCCGATAACGCAATGCCAGACAAGAGACGCCTCTTCCATATTTACATGGGACATCCTCCAATGCGCGGGGACTGCGTGTCCCATGAAGCGAGACTATGCGTCCCATTTACCAGGACTGTGTGTCGCATAATCGAGTCTGCGCGTCCCATTTGCCAGGGCTGTGTGTCCCATAACAGGGACTGTGCGCCCCATCTAATGTATCAGGGCTGTGTGTCCCCATAGCCCATAGCTGGGACTGCGTGTCCCATGCGCCTGCCCTCTGGGAGGACCGCCCCATAGGCCATAGGCCATAGGGCATAAGGGCTGGAAGGCTGGAATGCGGGTCGCATAGCATCACATCACAACCGCATCGTATTGTCGTGTGGTATCAATTATGGCTTGCGCACTATCAGCATGGCAACTACTGCACCTACCTTATTACTCCCCTCTGCGTGTCTGGTGGTGGGGTCCTACTCGGGGATCGTTCTCGCTTCAACGTGGCATACCGCTGCTGGGATACCGTGGATCGACGGGGCTGTCCCAATCTCATCCTCCTCGGCGTGGCTGGGCAATGAGATTCGCCCCAGCCCACGCTCATCGCTGTGTAACTTTATTTGGATAGAGGAAGAGGGGTGCTTTGGCGCTTCCGGGAACAGCCCAGAGGCG